TATTTTATATGATGAGCATTAAAGGAATTTGATATAAAATTCATAAAAAATGGAATAAGGCTCTAACATAAAATTCCAATTTCTCTTTTATCAACAAAATGTTAATAGTACGAATAAGAAAGTAAAGTTCACATATTCAAAATTCTCCTACAAGATTTTAGCAAAAACTATTACTGTACATAACACGTTGGCTTTAGATATTACTAAAAAAGGCTTCTAGGTTGCTTTAATACAACGAAATGATATTAAATTTAATAACAGAAAATTAACTCAACAGTTTTGTATAATTATATATATTGTCCAATAATTACAATGATATAAAAAACACTAATTAAGTCATATATACAGATGTTTTTTATTTTCTTTTAAATATTAAATAAGCAACTATTTTAATGATGATCTTTCTTCTTTTTTATATTCAAAACACTTTTCATAAGCCGATATTGGTATGGCTCTTAACTCACTTGCGAACTCATCTCCCCATCTGCCTCCAATATTTCTGTCGAAATAATACTGAGTTAGAGACAGATGAAAAAGACAAAAGCGTCATATTGGGGAAGGTTTAATGTAAATAATATGGTTTGACATAATATTTGTAGATATGTTATGTAGATAAAAACAATTTAAAGAATTTGGTAAGTTGTTAGCAATTTATTCCTCTGCTGTAATTAGAAAATTTTATGTAAAAAATTACAGGAATTATGAAATAAAACAGAAAATAATTTTAACAAATAATATTTAGTTTTTTGTCTTTAAAGTAACTTTCATCGGTTGCATTATAAGTAGGCAGACCCATGCTTTAATTCTTCATACATTTTTCATAGGTCTACACCTTTAGTATGGTCCACAATGTCAAGACGAGTAAGTACGATATTTGGTCGTTCATATTTGTTGAATTTTTTTGCCAGAAACTATGGCAGAACCATTGGTGTCCTATTGCAAAACATTCAAAAGCATAATTGCATTGTCGTCGGATATAAACATATTTGTGGAGGAAGCGCTCTAAAAACTTGTACGGTCTCATTGTACATAGGCACCAACTCACGCAAGGCAAATTGCTGCCAGTATCTTTTTTACAAAGATATAATCAAATTCATTTTTTTTCAGATACATATATAAATATATTAGTGCTTAAAAATGATCGGACATCACGGTGTTCAAGCGGTGTGAATAATTTCGAATTTGAATAGCTGTATATTGGACCTATTTAAAAAGCCAATCTGCCTAATGTTCCTTTATATTTCCATTTTGAGGTATAGTTGTATTATATATAAATAAATGCTCGAGTATCATAAGGTTAGGTAAGTACATCAAACGGTTAGAGATTTCCAAAGGTTTTCATAATGTTTAAAGCACTGAAATTTAAAAATATATTTCATTTATATTATTTCAATTAAAAATATATATATCTGTGAATATGTCTGTATGTATATATATGTATGCATCAGTGACGACTGCTCTGAGGTGCGGAGGTGTGCGGCGCACACCCTAACATAATTTGCAAATTGTCAAATAATCCATATAAATTTATTAAATATCTTTACATCAAGAATTAATATTGTTTATTACATTTTCATATATATATTTTTAAAGAATAAAGTTTTAGCAAAAGCATTAAATATAATTGTCTATGAAAACTCAATTAATTTGCTTCTCTTAGCTACTATAGACGTTAGTTGTGCTCATAAGATTGCAGCTCACATCGCAAAACATTTCTTTCAAATTTGGTCTTTCCCTTTTAAGCAATTGCATTCATAAATTTCTGTCGTAAGTGTGCACAAAAGTAGATTGAACAAAATAATGTGCGTGTGCTCTAGCTTAAAATATGAGAAATAGAGATTGGGAATTGTATAAGAGTAATTTTCTAGCGGTTAGATGTGCGACGAAAGTTTGTAGCTCACATCACCATACATTGCTTTCAAATTTCGTCTTTTCCCTTTCAGCTGCTGCTCCAGCGAATAATAGCCGCTTTGTGTGCGGAGTAGCTGGACGCACATTTATACGTTGCAAGTGCGTTCGATTTTGTTTGATCACTGCGTAAACATGTATGGTTCTAAGTACAAACTTTTTTGTTTGAAAAAAGTTGGTTTGATGTTATAAGAAGTATGTGAAAAGTTGTATTTATTCCATATTGATGTAATATTAAACTTATATATAAATTATTAATTTAATTTGTTTAATATGTTATTTTGTTAATGAGTTATTAAATGTTATATTATGAATATGCTGTTACCTAATGTAATACAGTTATTATTAATAAAACATCTCATATATTTCAATTTATCATTTTTAATTTAAGTGGTAAATGTAAAAACAACATTGTAAAAGGGCCGTACACCCTTCCATATAGGGCACGCGTCACCACTGGTATGAATGTATATATTTATAATGAATTGCATATAAAGTATCCATATTAGTCCTTATATGCTCTGAATTCTATTTATTAAATTTCTACCCTAGAATGCTTTAGTTGGCGTTATTCACAGAATTGGATTGATACATATATTTTATTCTTAACTTTCTAGTTTTCATTGTCAGACTACAGAATTTAACAATATTAAAATTTTTTCTTTTCTTAGAAACATAAAATATGTCTCCAAAGATTGCACCAAGTAATTTTAACTCCTAACTAATGATAAACGATTCTGTTACTAAGGTGCGCGACAAAAAGATAAGGTCAGTTTGTTTTTTCTTTGTGGAACTCAATTTGAGTGATTACTCTTCGGATCTTGTGGATTTTATTGTTCGATAGAGGGAATGCAACAAATAAATTCTAATATAATGAGTAAACAAAGTCCCGTTAGTTTTAAATATATCAAAAAAGAAAAAAAAGCTAAATATTGCTGCGACAAAATGATAAGGTCAGTTGCAATTTTTGCATTGTTTGGTCAAGTGAGTGTTCCGTTTGTATTAAAATTTGATTTATTTTAATAATTAAATTATTAAACAGTTTTTGAAGAGAAAATGGGTCGTGGTAAGAGTCTCACTACTTACGAGAAAGGGTTTATTGGCGGAAAGGTTATTGAAGGAGTTGGAATGAGACAAATCGCCAAAGACCTTGAAAGATCACTGTGCGTTGTACAAAATTATTTGAAGGATCGAGAAAATTATGGAAAAAAAAAGAGTCCTGGTCGAAAAAAAGTACTTTCCGCGACCACAGTGCGCTCCATTGGACGAATTGCCTCAAATTCTACTATAAGTGCAGCAAAAATTAAGGCAGAGCTTAAGCTTACTGCATCCAATAGGACAGTACTCAGAGCCATCAACGGAAATGAATATTTGAAGCGAGCCAAAATGAAAAAAGTTCCTTGCCTCAATGCTAACCACAAAGCGAAGAGGCTTGAATTCGCTAAATTAAACATGTCAACCAATTGGCATCAGGTAATTTTATAATAAATAAAACGAAAATAATTTGTAGGTTTTAATGACTGTTTTTTTTCTTTTAGATGATTTTTTCGGACGAGAAAAAATTCAATCTTGATGGCCCAGATGGTTTGAATTATTATTGGCGGGATTTAAGAAAGGAGCCTCAATATATTTCAAAAAGAAATTTTGGTGGTGGTTCGTTGATGGTGTGGGGAGCATTCAGCTCTATTGGAACATTGCCTCTCGCATTTCCGTCAAAACGCATGAACAGTGCTGAATACCAGGAAGTACTCTCCATATGTTTGCTGCCTTTTCTTGCTGAAAATCGAGAATCGCCGCTTGTTTTTCAGCAAGATAATGCAGCGATCCATGTGAGTCGGTCAACAAAGGAGTGGTTTGTGGGCAATTCAGTGGAAGTCTTGGACTGGCCCGCGTGCTCACCTGACCTGAATCCCATGGAGAACATGTGGGGAATTCTTGTACGTGAAGTTTATGCCGATAACAGGCAATTCAGCACTGTTGCTGAGCTGAAAGTGGCCATATTGAATGCCTGGAGAGAAATTCGGCAAACAACGCTCGCGAGCCTGGTAGGATCGATGCCGGGGCGTATTTTTAAAACAATCCAAAAAATTGGAAGCCAAATTAATTAAAAAAATTTATTCTGTTCATTAATAAACTTGTTTTCGTAAAAAATTGCAACTGACCTTATCATTTTGTCGCAGCAATATTTAGCTTTTTTTTCTTTTTTGATATATTTAAAACTAACGGGACTTTGTTTACTCATTATATTAGAATTTATTTGTTGCATTCCCTCTATCGAACAATAAAATCCACAAGATCCGAAGAGTAATCACTCAAATTGAGTTCCACAAAGAAAAAACAAACTGACCTTATCTTTTTGTCGCGCACCTTAGTATATAATGCTGAATGGTACTCTTACCCAAAATAAATGAAATCAACTAAATATCTTCAATCTTTTGGCCTCATACGTACTATGTTGAAGCCTTATTTAAATCAGATGTTTTGCATACACATGGACTT